ACCCCCATCATACAGTCTTCTGATCATTAACTAAAAAGATCTCCAGTAAAGCATTATAATTGTCTCACAGTAATTATCCTCCTTTGTTCTGTCTTCCATGACACATATGCACAGAACCAGAGCCAGTCAGATGGTATTTACTTTGATTATGAATATAAATGGTTCAGAGCCCGTCTGCCAAACAACTTTGACTCCGGCCATCTTTGCCTGTCATCTGTCCTCAAACGACAAGAGAGAGAGAAAAAATAAATAAATAAATACTGGGACACTTAAAGCAGCGTGTAAAAAGCATGACAACAGAGCTCAGAAATGACCCTGTTTGTGTGGATTATTAGTTTTCACCCAGGCCACGATCTTAAAGGGGTAGGTCAGTTCATTTTTAGGTGGGGTTGTGTGGAAACAAGAGCAATCCAGTCCAACATCTTATCACCAGTAGGGTTCTTTTTTTTTTACTAAATATTTCAGTAAACTTTAGTTTAAACAGTTATAATATTTAAATTGCATAGTCTTTTATAGAGAAATACTACTCCATTAAAAACTAAACAGTGTCATAAGCAAACGTTATTTAATCATGCTCATCAAAAGGAGCTCTTCAGAGAAAAAAACTCAATCCTTTACATATGACTAAAAAATGTGAGTAGATAATTTAACAGAATAAGAAAGTTTCCCTTCTGATTTGGTTCGATTTGGTGATTGATAAAACCATCTGAGGTGACAAATTTTCTCTGCAAAGTCATTTTAAAAGGTAAAAAAAAAAAGAGGTGATTTGCTCTCATTTGCTCAGTTTTCATTACCATATTTTACAGCTCATTTTCAGTGCAGCTGCACATCAATGTGACCTTAAAAATGAAAGACGTGAACAACCCGCCGTGTCATTTGCTGCTTCAGGGCGCAGCGGAGGGTCACCGTTCGCCGTTATTCCATATGGCAGTGGTGCATATATTTTATCAGTGGTATTCCACGTTAACACAGAATGACAACCTGCAAAAAGGATGAAACCCAAGGATCTATTTAATGTTGTCTCCATTGAAGGCTGAATACTCGTCGTTTTTAGTGACGAGGTTTGACAAATACTCGGTTCTCACAAAATGGTACGAGTAATTTTCTGAAAAGGGCAAGTTTGAAAAGCAATCCAGAAATTATACATGTAAAACCTTGCAGAAATAATAACAACTGGTCTCCTGAAAGGAAAAAAAATGCACATGGTAACCTTTAAACACCAGCTTTAGAATGCAAAAAGACCACCTAGACCGCATCATGCTAACGCAGTGCTACCGCCATGATYACGTTACGTCTGATTCAAGTTGTTTCCATGATGATTACAGTCATAGTGTAGGCATGAGCCAGTTTTGTGTTGTGTTAGCCATACTGAAATGAATCCTTGTGTAAAAGCTAGAAATAATTTGTATTTTGCTCATAAAAAGCTTCTTGAACGACCTCGGTTTGAAGAAATAGTTCGTGTCCAAAAAGATTGACGAGCTAATGGCTAGTGGGTCTATTGGGACCAGTCGTTATTAGCTCAGACACACTTCCAAAATGGATTGTTGCCATTTTAAAACAGCCCCAGTGTTCAAAATGTCCACAGCACTTCACGCTAATGCTACTTTTACACATTTACACCAACAACAATGGTGCAAAACCCACATATTTCATTAGAAATGCTACCCAAGTTTGARCTGAATATGACCAGTGGATATTTCTGCATTTATATAATCAGAAGATTTAATATAATTAATGGTGTAAAAGGTAGTTTTCATGGAATAAGGAGATTGGAGTTTCTATAAAACACCAGTTATCCACTGGTTTTAGCTGCGTTCAGACTAGTCACGCTATTCCATCAAACAAAGGCGTTCAACAAGCAAATATTTATATAAAAAGATCCTTCAGTAGGAACACTTTTCTTTTGATACACCCCTGAAGACCCTTYTGGGACCTTACAAAAACCCTCACATCGTTTTACAATAGCTAGGTCTTCATCCAGCATAAGGAAATGGATTTAAAGGCACAGTGTGTAGGATTTTGTCAAGTCTTTTAGCAGAAATTGAGATAATCACTAATGACAATAATAAAAAAACATGTCTAATCATTGCAGACAAAGACCTTGTTTTATTATTTTTACCTTATAAAAAGCTGTTTATATCTCCATGGTCGCGGGTCGCCACTAC